ACATGCCCTGTGTGATGACGAATAGCGGCAGGCCAGCACCGACAACGCCTAAAAATTTCCAGCCAGAAGCCAGCCGAAAGCTGCGAATCGCCTCCCGCTCCACAGTGGTTCCTCGACCGTAGGCCGTTCAGTCATTCTTAGAACGAAGCTCCCGTCTTCTTCTCCCTCCGGAATGAGGCTCTGATCCTCTGCAAACAACTCCCACTCGTCAACATGCTGCGCAACGCCGTCAACACGGCCAAGAAAGCCGTGACCGAGCTCTCCCAGTATCCCAAGCCCGGCGACAAGCTCCATGGCTTCACACTCCTGAGGACAAAGCACGTGCCGGAGCTGGAGCTGACGGCTCTTCACCTGCAACACGACAAGACTGGCGCAGACTACCTACACATTGCCCGCGACGACAGCAACAATGTCTTCTCCATCGGCTTCAAGACGAACCCTCCCGACGACACGGGTGTGCCCCATATCCTGGAGCACACCACGCTGTGCGGCAGTCAGAGGTGTGTTCACTGTGCCCTACATGCCTTACCCTGCTGACCATCTAGATATCCCATTCGCGATCCCTTCTTCAAGATGCTGCCGAGGACGCTGTCCAATTTCATGAACGCCTTCACGGCATCGGACCACACCTTTTACCCGTTTGCGACAACCAACTCCCAGGACTTCAAGAACCTCATGTCGGTATACATGGACGCGACACTGCATCCGCTGCTCAAGGAGTCCGACTACACCCAGGAGGGATGGCGCATCGGACCGGAGAACCCGCAGGCCGCCAATGGCGAGGAGAGCGACCTCGTCTTCAAGGGCGTCGTCTACAACGAGATGAAGGGCCAGATGTCGGACGCCGGCTACCTGTTCTACATTCGGTTCCAGGACCACATCTTCCCCGATATCAACAACTCTGGCGGCGACCCGCAAAAGATCACCGACCTAACGTACGAGCAGCTGCGCAAGTTCCACGCGGAGCACTACCACCCGAGCAACGCGAAGCTGTTCACGTACGGAGACATGCCCCTGTCGGACCACCTGCAAGAGGTCAACGCCCAGCTCAGCGCGTTCGAGAGGATACAGGAGGACAAGACGATTCACCAGCCGATCAATCTGGCCTCCGGGCCTAGGGAGGTCACCGTGAAGGGCCCTCTCGACCCCCTGGTAGACCCCGACAGGCAGTACAAGACGTCCGTCTCGTGGATCATGGGAGACTCGTCCGACGTTGTCGAGTCCTTTTCCCTGGCGCTGCTCTCTACTCTGTTGATGGACGGCTACGGATCTCCCCTGTACCGCGGGCTGATCGAGGCCGGTCTCGGCACAGACTTTAGCCCCAACGCCGGCTACGACAGCTCCGCCAAACTGGGCATCTTCTCCATCGGCTTGACCGGCGTCCAGGAGGCCGACGTGCCCAAGCTCAAGGCCGAAGTTCAGCGCATCCTCCAGGAAGTCCGGCAAAAGGGGTTCGACAGAACAAAGATTGACGGATCCCTCCACCAGCTGGAGCTGGCGTTGAAGCACAAGACGGCCAACTTTGGCATGTCGATGCTCCACAGACTCAAGCCCAAGTGGTTCACGGGCGTCGACCCCTTTGACTCGTTGGCGTGGAACGACACCATTTCGGCCTTTGAGACTGCGCTCGCCAAGGGCGGGTACCTGGAAAGCCTGATTGACAAGTACCTGTTGAACGACAACACCCTGTCCTTCACCATGTCGCCGTCAACCACGTTTAGCGAAGACCTCGCGCGCGAGGAGAAGGAGAGGCTGGCGTCCAAGATCAAGCAGGCTTCCCAGGAAGCTGGCGGCGACGAGGCGGCCCGCAAGAAGTTTGAGCAGCGCGAGCTGGACCTCCTCGTCGAGCAGGGCAAGTCCAACACGGAAGACCTGAGCTGTCTGCCGACGGTCCACGTCAAGGACATCCCCCGAAGCAAGGAGCCCGTGGTTGTGCGCGACGAGACGGCCAACGGCGTCAAGATCCAGTGGCGCGAGGCCCCGACTAACGGCCTCACCTACTTCAGAGCCATCAACAGCCTGGAGAACCTGCCAGACGAGCTCAGAGAGTTAATCCCCCTCTTCTCCGACAGCATCATGCGGCTCGGCACCAAGGACATGTCCATGGAGCAGCTCGAGGACCTGATCAAGCTCAAGACGGGAGGCGTGTCTGTCGGATACCACTCGACGCCCTCGCCCACCGACTTCCACCAGGCGAGCGAGGGGCTGATGTTTACGGGCATGGCGCTGGACAGAAACGTCCCCGTTATGTTTGACATATTGCGCAAGCTCGTGCAAGACACGGATTTCGACAGCCCGGAGGCCGCCCTGCGCATCAGACAGCTGCTCCAGGCATCTGCCGACGGCGTGGTCAACGATATTGCCTCATCCGGCCACCAGTACGCCCGCGGGTTCGCGGAAGCCGGACTCACGCGGAACGCCTGGTTCAGACAGCAGATTGGCGGCCTCTCGCAGGTCAAGCTCGTCACGTCGCTTGCCAATCGTCCCGAAACGGATGGTCTGGCGGACGTCATTGACAAGCTCAAGCAGATCCAGAAAATCGCGCTCGCCGGTGGTAACTTCCGCACCGCGCTCACCTGCGGGGCAGAGAGCACGGGCGCCAACCTCAACGCCCTGACTAGCTTCATGTCGACCCTCCCCAAGGACCTGCCCCTGCCGTCGACCCAGAAGCCAGCGACGCTGCAGAAGAACATCAAGTCCTTCTTCCCGTTACCGTACCAGGTCTATTACGGTTCGCTGGCGGTGCCCACCGTCTCGTACACGCATGCCGATGGCGCGCCGCTGCAGATCCTGGCGCAGCTCCTCACGCACAAGCACCTCCACCACGAGATCCGCGAAAAGGGCGGCGCCTACGGCGGCGGGGCGTACTCGAGGGGACTGGACGGCCTCTTTGGGTTCTACTCGTACCGCGACCCCAACCCGCAGAACACACTCTCCATCATGCGCAACGCCGGCCGCTGGGCCGCGGACAAGGCGTGGGCGGACCGCGACCTCGAGGAGGCCAAGATTTCCGTGTTCCAGGGCGTCGACGCGCCCCAGTCGGTCAACTCGGAGGGCATGGGCCGGTTCACGTCCGGCATCACAGAGGAGATGAAGCAGACGCGCCGCGAGCAGCTGCTTGACGTCTCCAAGGACCAGGTGCGCGAGGTGGCGCAAAAGTATATTGTCGAGGCCCTCGCCAAGGAGGATGAGAGAGTCGCCTTCTTGGGCGAGAAGCGCCCGTGGGTGGACGGCACCTGGAAGATTCACGAGATGGACATTGGTTCCGAGTGAGCCGTACGCGACCGGTTTGTACCATAGAGATCGTAGAAAGGGGGAAACCCTTCCGGTCAGATCTGTAACCATATCTGTACAGCACCCATGTTGTAACATTATACCCACCTCCTGAATAGAAGCAACTGTATGAGGTCTTTCCTGTCTGTCTGTCCTTTTCTTCTTCTAGCCTAGACACCTACCGACGCGTTCAGATACGATACGTCTTCCTGCCACTTCTCAATGGCTTGGAGACCACTAGACAACGCAAGACGAAGGAAACTATCTTGAGCCAGGGTAGCCTTTACGATTCGTACGGGATAACCGGCTCAAGAAAAAGGCTCGTGCTATCAGACCCGGCATCCTCAGCTTTGGATCGTCGGACTAAGGCGCAGAGTACATGCGACGTTGATGTTGCTGGTGAGGCCTGGGGTACTTCATTGGTATGCGGCGGGAGACAGAGAGATGGAGAGCCAATCAAGTGCAGCCAATTACACGCCAGCAAATCCAAGCAGATTGACTAAACGGGAGATGCTCGGGATGGACTACGGAATATAATATGGGCAAAAATGAGAGAAGAATGGGAGAGAATACAATTGGCTCACAAGAGAGAGAATGCCCCGCATACGTCACCTCCAAGGCACAGCGCCACAATTGTATTGGTTTTTTTTCTTCTTCTCGAGATTCTGGGCCATAATGCAATGGAAGTTTGAATTTCGACTTTGGGACTGCGGCTCGTGGAAAGGCTTGGGGTCGCCGGGGGGGCATCCCGAGTGGATGTTCAATGGGAGGCAGCCCAGAGACAACTTGGGACTTGGAGGGGGATTCTACCAGTAGGCGGGTGAGCAGTGCCGTGACTATGCGCCGGTGAGATCTAGAACATGGTGTGCGGGAGAGGCACATGCTTCTGGGCTCCCAATACTGCCGTACGGTAGAGGTGTGCCGGCTGTCTCTCTGCCATGATTTCGTCCAAAGCGGGCGGCCGTCTGGGTAGACGGTGCGTGACAGACAGAGTGCCATCGACAGTCAGCGATTTGTGACAGAAGCTAAACCGGCTGCCCGTACATGTGCTGCTTTGGACGAGTGGCATGGCATGGGGGAAAGAATCAGGCTAATTCTGGCAACTGTCCGAGTGGAACACTGCGTTGAGGGAATTTCTTTCCCTTCAGAACTAAGGTTGGAACACAGGCTCGCAAGCGAGACACAGGCATAGACGGCGGTCTGGACGGGACGGGACCGGTCTCGTTACTTTTGCCAACACGGGCGAGGTATTCCGTTTGTCAAGCAGCTGCCAACTTGGTGTTGTTGTTGTTGTCCTCTTGGTCGTGGAGATGCGGCGTTTGAAACGGATAGTTAGGGTTGATTGTCTCCATCACACCCACAACTACAACAACCAACGCCGAGTCTACGGGAAACTTGGAAGAAACACCGGGTACTAGCGACTAGGCGTCAAGTTGACAGCAGGTGTGAAAAGGCTAAAGCTAGTGAAAGCTGGGGCAAGGGAAATGGAAATGGAACCGGAGGGGCGGGCGGGCGCGAGGATGACAGCGAGACTACGGAGTACTGATGTACTGACGTCCAGGGCTCCAGACTGGTGCTTCTCGAACCGGGAAAACGCGTAAAGTTGCGGTCTGGAAAATTTACCGATGGGTCAGCGTGATCGTGATGGGCACGCGAGGCAGTGGTGGCTAGACGCAAGTTTGGTAGTTGCAACACGGTCCTGCATGAGATTGACAGAGAGAAGAAGATCAGAGACGGTCAAACAGGCACTGGGCCACTTGGCACATGGGATATGGAATTGGAACACGGGGGACAGCAGCTGCGTGGTGGTGGTGGTGGTGGTGGTGGTGGCTGCGGTCAATCGTGATGCATGGCAGATGGAGCTGCAAGCAAGCAAAGACGGCAGCAGCAGCAAGCAACGAATTCGTAATGGTGGAGGAATTCCCAGCCATAGCCAGCCCTCCAAGTTGAGGCCTTCCACATCCACACCTGCTGGGATCTGTGCTTCGTAGACTCTGGGAGGATTTCCCGATGGAAGCCCTGCAGAGCGATGGCTCTGGGACTGCTGGGAGAGGGACATCCACTGCGGTACCTCGCTCTGCATGTTCCGGTGTCTGAGCTGCAGGGGTGACACCGTGACGGAGGGGGATGTACTCCATACATGACCTCACGCTGAAGAATGGGCAAACGAGAAGGTATCCAGACTCTGGGCTGGAGGCTGGACTCTGGACCTTTGGTGGGATCAATGGAGACGGCTCCCCTGGACAGTTGGACCGGGTACAATTTGGAACCTGCTGTGCTCGAGACTTTACTTTTCGGACCGTTGTTTGTTGGGCTTCAGGCTTCAACTTGTTTGAATGGGACGGATATTGAAACTGGGTACGACGGGTACTTGGCGGGCGAGCATCATTATGGAGACGGCTTGAACCTTGCCGTCAAGTACCTTGACTTACATCAGCACTTGAACACCAGACGTACTTCGTACGCAGCAGCATCCGGGCAGGGAAAATTTTGAAAATTTGTGGGCAGGTTGTGCTGTTGACAGTCGTGGGCTGTGGGTGGCCAACCTCGCATCCCGGCTCCACTAATAAGGTACCAAAAAGAACCTGAGGAAGACAGACGAAACCCTCCTCCAGGCTCCGGGGCCTCCACGGCCGTCGCAATAAAAAACAGTCCCCCCTCCGCCACACACTTACCTCCCGGGACACCAAACCAAAGGTTCATCGTCAACCCGCACCACGCAACAGCTCCCGCTATTCGCAACATTGCAATTGTTATCCAGATACAGCTGCCTGGACATTTCGGTTTCGACCCTTTCGTCCGGTTTCTTTGTCTACTTGGTGAGTCAAGTCCCGACTGTTTTAAACGGATCCCGCGCGGTGGCGCATCTTCCCGAGCAATCACATGGCATCGTCATCGCCGGCTTTTTTGCACCGCCAGCTTTGGGAAAAACCTACCTACACGCATTTGGCCCAAAACCACCACACAAAATAAAATCGCTCTCACAACAAACCGCATTTCCCCCTTTCAGCACCACAACCACAACCAGCACAACCGCATAAACCGCGCATACAAGGAATCCTTTGCTAACCAAGTGCATCGTCTGTCCAGATCTATAAGATCAACCCCTTTCACCGCCAGACTTAGCCTTTGGTCAACTCAAAGGCACCACAGCCCAACACGGCTTCTCTGGCCGTGAGCTTCGTCAGTGACCAAGATTTCAGCGTACGAAAGACTCGACACATTGTCAACGCCATCCCCCCTCCACCGCCTGCAGTCGTCTAAGCAGAAGCTCGAGTTCTTCCTTCTCGACGGTTTGCTTCACCAGACGCCCCCGTCCAACCCCACCCCCAACCAGCTGCCGCATAAGACGGGCTCTGCAGCTCTTCCTCTCGCCGAGGGGGAGTCGAGAAGACCTCGTCAGATCACTGAGGGATCTGTCTGCTACCGCTTTCGACCACCCTAGAACTCTCGTGTTGTTCTAGCTTTTCATCTACCTAGGGACAGTATCAATACTTTGATTCTGCCCACGCGTCGAAACACAGACCGACCAACCACCCACACACCTCTCTTCAACTAATCACCACCACCCCGTCAACCGCTTGGATATGGTTATGGCAACAGCCGCGATCGAGCACTTTGCACCAGCTACTATCAATTATGCTAGTACCTACCACCAACCGATCCTCAAAACATCGCACTTTGCCGATCGCCCCGTCAAACATGGAGTGATCAACCCCAAGCAGCTGATTGGCGATGCTCTCCGCCAGCGTGTCGAGAGCATCGACCATGAGATTTGTGAACCAGGTGACGAAGACACCTTCTTCGTCGGTGATCTCGGCGAGGTCTACCGCCAGCACATGCGCTGGAAGCTCAACCTGCCCCGCGTCAAGCCCTTTTATGGTGAGTCCCCTGGCATCCCCCCCGAGACGTTCCTCACTAACCCACGCAGCCGTCAAGTGCAACCCCGACCCCAAGGTCCTGCAGCTCCTCGCTGCCCTCGGCACCGGCTTCGACTGCGCCTCCAAGACGGAGATTGACCAGGTCCTCAGCATGGGCACCGCCCCTGAGCGCATCATCTACGCCCAGCCCTGCAAGACCAACTCGTACGTCCGCCACGTCAAGGCCATGGGCGTCAAGCAAATGACCTTTGACAACGCCGACGAGCTGCGCAAGATCGCCAAGCTCTTCCCCGAGGCCGAGCTGTACCTCCGCATCATGACCGACGACGAGTCGAGCCTGTGCCGCCTGAGCATGAAGTTCGGCGCCGCAAAGGAGGCCACCAACGAGCTCCTCGGCGTCGCAAAGGACCTCGGCCTCAACGTCGTCGGCGTCAGCTTCCACGTCGGCTCCGGTGCCTCCGACCCCATGGCCTTTTACAAGGCCGTCTACGACGCCTACGAGGTCTTTGAGCAAGCGCGCGCCTACGGCTTCGAGATGAAGACGCTCGACATTGGCGGCGGCTTTTGCGGCGACACCTTCGAGGACATGGCCGCCGTCCTCCGCGGCGCCCTCGACGAGTACTTCCCCGCCAGCAGCAACGTCAACATCATTGCCGAGCCGGGCCGCTACTACGTCTCGGCCGCCTTCACCATTGCCTGCAACATCATCGCCCGCCGCACCGTCGACGACCCGTCCCTCGGCGAGAAGCGCTACATGGTCTACGTCAACGACGGCCTCTACGGCAACTTCTCCAGCATCATGTTTGACCACCAGCACCCCGTCGCCAAGGTCCTCCGCGCCGGCCCCGTCACAATGTACGACACCGGCGCCGCCAACGCCTGCCCGGACGGCGAGGGCATCCGCTACTCCGTCTGGGGCCCCACCTGCGACGGCATCGACCGCATCACCGAGACGATCTCGTTTGAGCACGAGCTCGACGTCGGCGACTGGCTCTACTTTGAGGACATGGGCGCCTACACCAAATGCTCCGCCACAAAGTTCAACGGCTTCCCCGACTCGCACGACGTTTTGTACGTCTGCAGTGAGCCCGGCGCCAAGGCCCTGCTCAACATGTAGGGTCCGTTGACGTTACCTGAGAGTGTTTGTCGTCTACTTCGCTTTGAATTCGAGACTAGGAAATGGAAAAAGAGAGAAGATGGAATCCAAAAAAAAAACATAGACTTGGAGAAATAACAAAAAAGAAACTCCGGCCCAACAGCACGCATTGTAGAAATGTAGTCATTCACTTCGCCTGTCAGCTTCGATAGAAAACATGCTTGGGAACAATACAGTTTTTTTTTTGATCACGGGCCAAAATCGTTGCCAGCTAACTCGTCTCTATGCCATGTGTGTCTGTCTCACCAGTCAGTGTAACACCGAGATTAAACGTCGTGACCGGCAACACAACCCGAAAAAGCCCCTGACTCGTTGCCGTCACGCCCAACGGCCAGCAGGCACTCATGTAACCCCCGACGTCGAGACGACGAGCTCTCATGCAAGGTACGCAACACCTCGCAACACCTGTACTCGCAGCCTTAGCCGCAGGCCGGAGCCAGTGATCTGGGTCTAACTATGCATGGCGGGATGGGGGGGTCAGGGAGTTACGGCCCCCAAAGGTCTTGGCTAAACGTCAGTCCACAAACATCAACAGTCAACGTCAACAATCTACCTCGCCAACAACACTCGTGCATACGAAATCTTGGATTCATCCTTTTCTCTCATTACCGCTTTTACCTGATTCGAAGCCCGTCGCCCGTCACCCGTTCACCCCCTCTTCCGCTTCCCCCTATCTACTCGGTGGCCAGCACACGCTACGCTTTTGCAAGAAGGCTCCATGAATGCCTACGTCGTATCGTGATGGGTGCAAACCTCAAAAAGCTTCTCTTGCTCTCTCTGTGTCTAAGCTGCGCCATTAAATGCCAAAATGAAAAAAAAAAGTCGTGGGACGCTTCAAGAGTGTGTTTTTGGTTTTGCATCATGCGATCCATCCTCTCCTTTCGTGATTCCCCTTTTTCCGGCCTCCTGGCCAATTCGTTACGTTAAAAATGCCTGCCAAGGCCATCCCGCCATTCATGAACCTGGTGCTTCATCCGACTTCATGCTGATCCCGTCATCTAATTAACCCTCCTTGATCGAGAGTAGTCGTCTGTACGTCGTGTGGTCCGGTTACACATCTCTCTCCCGGAAACGCTAATGGCGTCAAAGTCGAAAGACTCGAGCTGCTCACGCGGCCGCTTCAGGACGGATGATGCTCCGCGCCGTGGCTTCGTCATAGCCAATGACATTCGTCAGGTATGCCATCCTAGGTCTAGTCAGCACGAAATTCGCCCTCCCAAATCCAGCGTCACTCACTTGTCATTGTCGACCTCGGTCCATTTGAGGTCCTCGAATCTCTGCTGGCAGTCCATCCACGCCATCGCCCGCGCCTTGGGCTGGATCTTCTTGACCGTAAACTTGAATCTGCCCGTGACAGGTCGATGATCAGAGACGCGCACTTCGTGTCGTTTGTAGTCCACCTGCTTGATCCTGCCACCACCGCGGTAGAGCAGCCGATCGCACCACGCGGGGGAACGCTTCTTCTCGCTCGTGTCGTAGTTGTCCGTTCCGACGTCGTACTTGTACGTCGGGGCAAATGTAATGGGCATCTCTTCAAACGCGCGGAGCTTGAAGGCAGGGTTGCGCCGCCTGGCCACTAGAAGCTGGTCTCGCTCGAGAAGCTTGGCGAGGTTGTTCTGCTTCACTGCGATGACGACCGTGTCGCGCGACATGGTGTCGATGCGATAGTTCAGATCGCCGTTGAGCAGGCACAGCTCGTGGTCCAGGATCATGGTGCCGTCTCCGCCGCCGACATAGCTGTCGAGGCGAGCGCTAGGGTCTCGCTCGGGCGGCAGGATTTGTGCCTCGAGAATGGCGGCGATGTCGTTGTGGCGACTATTGGCCTGCGACTGACCCGCTGCCAAGTGACAGTTGATGAAGCACATGGATGAGTCATCCACCATGAACCGCACGACGATTGCGCCCTTGTTGCCATGAAGACCTCCCATACCTCGCTTGACTTCTGCCGCGCTGAGGTTCTGGATCCGATCTCTTAGCGTCGACTTAACAAAGATGCAGGTGAACAGCCCGACCAGCGTGGCGGTGTGGAGCAGGTGATACAGACAGTCCGGAGGCATGTAGTCGTCGAGGCTCTTGAGGAGGAAGTCTCTCCAGTCGCGATACTGATGGCTCATGCGCTCCTGGTCCGAGCCCTCCTTCTTCTTCACCTTGAGGAAGCGTTCTTTTACTGTTAGCTTGGTTTTTGAAAATGAGAACAGAAGGACCTACTAGCTGTTGCGGTTTTGTCTTCCAGGTCTACGAGCTCCTGGAACCCAAAGATTAGAATATCTGGCGAACTGTTGGACGTGAGCAGGCTCTTGATAAACTCGGCATCTTCTTGTGCGTATCGCAGGCTGTGGGGTGTTGAAGCACCCGCATTCCACGTCATGCACAGCACCTTGAGATCTTGGAACTCGCAGTACTGTGTGTCCATGGCCTTCATCTCCGCTTCGTGCCAATCGTCCTGCAGCAGACCGTCCCAAACGCGGAGCATGTTGTCGGCACCGAGAGAGATGACCTGGTGGCGATCCAGCCTGTAACAACTCGATGCATCCGAGACGAGCTTCACGACGGGGTTCTTCTCGTGTGCCTGCCAGTCCTTCTTTTGTGCCCAGGGCGTGGGCTCCATGTCATAGACACCAATCTTGCCCGTGTTGAATCCTGCCCAGAGGTGATCGCCCACCCCCGCGAGAGTGTTGATCTTCCACGAACTCAAGTTGACGAGGCCCAGACACGAAAAGTCCTGCGTGTTGTAGATGGATACCTTGCCATCGGCGTGGCCAAAGAATACCTTGTTCGGCTGTGACCGCACTTGCGTTCCCGACGTCACCTCGCCCGCCGTGTCCTGGGCCAGAGCGCGGACCAACACTTGGAATTGGGTTTGTCCGTCTGACGATGGCGCAAAGACGCGGATCTCTTTGCCTGTCGCGTGCCACAGCTCGTCACCAACAACCATGGAGAATGAATGGCCCTTGGGGAGGCGGAATGCCTGGTGCGCATTATTGGTCAGATTTGGCGTTCCAGTCTCTTCATCCGGGGCCCAGACGAGCAAGCCGCCATTCTCATCCAACGACCACATCTCGTTGAAGTGGCGGTAAATCTTGACAACCTCGTGCCGGCCGTGAGCCCCTGGCTTATTCGCGACCACGCTTTGCGTTGCAATGTCGGCTTCCATCAGCTCGCCAAAGTTGTTTCCAATCCACAGTCTCTTTCCTTCCTCGTCCACATTCAAGCCGGGTTTGAAAGCCACCGTCGTGGCCTTGATACCTTCGCCGTGAGCAAAACTCATCAACAGCTCGCCGTCTCGGAGGTTCCACACTCGTGTCAGATGGCCAGTCGTACAGATGAGATCGCCGCACACGTCGAAGGTTCTCGGATCGTACTTGGTCTGGATTTCGTGCATGCCGTGTTTGATGTAGGGCGGTCGTCGGTTGACGTTTGCGGGGTCAGGGAAGTTTGGTATGTTGCCGTTGATCTCGACCTTTGACGTGTTGCTGGAGGGAATAAGAGACACAGTCGGCTCGGGTGGTGGTGGAGGCTGCGCAGGCTGTACATGTTGTACATGCTGAACATGTTGAACTGGCTGAGGTGGTTGAGGAGGCGGCGGACGCGGTGACGTCCGGTCCGTGACTGTATTCGCACGCCCCGGTAGCCGTGATGGCGGCGGAAGATGTGTTGTTGTCGGGGTCGAGACGATTCGCTTAGGCGGGGGCTGGAAGTCGACCGAATGACTGACGGAGTGGCTGGCAACGTGGGTGTTGATGCCGCCCGCTCTTGGAGGCCGCGGAGGCGGTTTCATCGTGACGGGCGGCCGCGGCGGAGGCTCCGCAACGGTCTGCGGTCTTGCGGGAAGAGCGGGTACATTAGGCCGGTCACCCGTAATCTGCGGAGTGATCTGACCCCTGATGAATCCATTCGTCTCCTGCTCCCGCTGGTTCCTCTTGGTCATGATGGAATGGTGAACGGGGGGCGGCGCGAACCCAACATCTATCGGTCTGCCTCTCTGGGGCGGCGGTGGTTCCGTCAGCGTTGCGAGCGCCTTTGGCCTGGTGGGGAGAGTTGGAGGGGCCGGTTCGTGGATACTATCGGGGCTTCCAGGCGGGCTGCTAAAGGGAGACGTCTCTTCCCTGAGCTTGCCCCTGATTTCAGCAGCCCCGATTTGGTGATCTGCGTAGTAGGGAGCCTTGGGCTGGTCTCGCATCGACGGCTTTTCGGCACGGTTGATTGGCGGGGGCACGGCGGGCTTGTGGTCCCTCCGTATCTCGCCAGATCGTCTCGGCGGCGGTGGTGAAGGCGGCTGTGAAGCAGACAACCTCGGTGAACGTCGCGGATCGAGCGAAGGGGTGTGCGGCCTGCTTGGGATCTTGAAGGCTCGCGAAGTGGTTGGCGTGGTGGGGGTGGAAGAGCCGGAGTCGGCGGCGTTTAAGAAGGCCGGTGCCTCGGCGATGGAGAACCTCGAGATGGAGTTCTTTGGCGGTGACTGAGGCGGTTCTATCAGGACCGAAGGAGCCTTTACGGGCTCCGGTTTCAAGGTGGGAGGGACACCGAGGGAGCGGCCGGGTGAGCGAGGGACGGGCTCGTGAAGAGGAGGCGAGGGTGACAGTGCCGAGATGCTCGCGCGCTCGCGGGGTCTCGGGGGAATTGGGAGGCTCTGAAGGCTTTCGGAGGAGGCTTTCGCATCTCGAAGGAACTCTGGCTTCGGGGCCGGAGAGATGGTTCGGGGCGGGGAGGGGCCAGGCGCGGCGGCAGATTCGCCGTTCTTGTTCATGTTCTCGAACTTGGCTCTCAGCGACGAGACGGGTTTCTGCGTATGGTCAGCGTTGTAAAAAGACAAAAGACAGGGAGTCTTACAAGTGATGAGCCATCAGGCCCATTCTGAGCGGGAGGAGCCATGGTTGTAGCAGAAACGACGGCGGGAGCCCAGGGTGCCGATACCCATTACACCCACGGCTGCAAGTGTATCGTCATGAGCCCTCCAACGGCGTGTGGTCTGTCGCCGGCTTAGCCAAGCAGGGTAGGGTGGTGGTCGTGGATTGACGAGGTCGTCGAGTGTCGTCGCAAGTATGCGTAAGCGGGCGTGAGAGCGAGAGTTTGTTGCGCGCGTGTAGTCGGAGAGATTCTGACAAGTGGGATGGACGGCCGTGCAAGAGGGCTGAGGAGCATAATGATGCTGGGCGGACGTTTCGAAGCTAGCGAGATGCGAAGGGGAGCATGGCCAGGTTGCCGTCACGATGGGCGCGTGAGAGGTGAGAGGGAAAGCAAGCTTCGGGTGTTTTTCTGGAGCAGTGGCAGTAGGCAAGGTGCGGGAGGTTGTGATTGACGACGAAGTGGCATTGCAATGGCCCCTTGGAGCAATAAGATTCCCTCCGTAAGGTACTTCGTACTGCGTCGCCGTTTTGCTGGGACGGCAGTGTGTGGATGGTGTACCTGATTCGCCGGTACCTGGGTTGGCGCACCAGTCTGGGGGATGGAGGGAAGTACCGCTCTCCGAGATGAGGCAGGGCAGGCGGGCAGGTGGGTAGGCATGGCAGGGAAGGGGAGGGGAGGAAAAAGGGAAACGTATGCTAGGCACGTAGGCCGCAGTAGTGCTTTGCGGCGCCGTGCACGCAACAGCGTTGTACCTCAAGGTAAGGTAGAGAGGGTGGGTGGTAACCGACACTGACAGACAGACACACAGAAGACAGTGAGGGGGAACGGTACGTGGTGGGATGTACGTAAGGTTTGAGGGGACTCGCCATCCAAACACTGCCGTCAATTACGACTTGCGCTGCGACGTGCCGTCGTGCCTGTCCCGCCGCAGCATTATGGCCCGTCTGGGTTTAGCAGTCCCCGTAATGACATATGACCCTGCCAAGCAAGCGTCTCCATCTCTGTCAGCCTCACCAGTTGGGCCCAGGGTTGAGAGCCCAGTTGCGGGACTGGGCGAGCTCAATACGGAGTACTTTGTCGAGAATTCGAGATGCGGATTACGGAGGCCCTCAGCCACAAGGTAAGGTAGGTACTTTGACAGATGTACCTCGCGGCTGGGGAGACGATGAGACCAGGGCCGCCGCCGTTGGCCTTGCCGCCTTGGTTCCTGAGGAACTCAAGGTTGGACACTAGTCGTTCCGTAATTAGGCGAGTTCACAGGCTGAAGGCACCCCTGTAAACTACGCAGAACGTCCCTCGCAGGCGTGGCAGGCACGCACAGCACAGCGATCGTTGAGTCCGGCGCACCTGTCCCGTGTCTGGGGTCTGGGACTACGTACCTGCTTACCTCAGCTTCTAGCCATAGCTGGCACTTTAGATTGAAGCATCTCGGCCGCTCCTCAACCCTGGATTCTCCGTTCTGGTAGAGAGTTGTTTCAACCACCATCAGATACAAGGTGCAACTTTGGTCTCTATGCTATTTAGAGATTTTCCAGCCTGGCTACAACATAGTTGCACTACTTACTTTTGATCTGTCAGTTGGGTGACGGAAGTGTGGCTAACCTCTTTCATCTTTCGGGGTCCACAGCTTGCGTGCACGGTGCAAAAGGCCAAGCCATCGGGGATTCTCGAGCTCCATCATCAGACCATCCCACTTTCTACAGTGCGTCCTCGTTGCTCAGTGGCAGCTTGCGCTCCGATCGACCGGGTTCCCAATCGTCCTTTGAGCGAGCCGACAGGGCTACATTTTTTCTTTCTTTCTTTGGTTGTTCAGACCAAACAACACAGCTCCCTCCATTGCAGCAAAACCGATCTGTCCAAATCCTCAAACCCTCACGTTCCACCGCAAACATGAACACCGTAAGTTCCTCCCCGGCCGTCGCACATGGTTTCAAGTTCTTGGCTGACATCAAGCCTAATCCTAGGTCAAATCATTCTGGTAGGCTTGACTCGTCGTCCTGGTCGCAAACCGCTCTCATCAATCAACAACACTGACACTCTTTCGTCTCGCAGGCTCGGATGGGGCTCCCTCTGCGCAGGTATGTTGTCCTGAGCCCTTTTGCGTCGCGTAGCTAACCAACCCCCGTGTCAGCCGGCGGAGCTGCCTACTACTTTGCCAAGCAGAGCATCAACGCCGATCGTGCCGCCCGCTTCGAGGAGCAGCGCCAGAAGAAGGCGATGGTCCAGTCTCTTGAGTACGGCGACAACGTTCCCTCCCAGCCCGGCTCCGCGTCCGCCATGGCCGGGGCTGCGCGCACCGATACCGCCGGCTCCCCTAGCCAGGAGTCCAGCTCCGATCCCGCCCCGACCCGCCACGCCCCGGCGACCGAAGCGCAGAGAGTGACGGAGAAGAGCAAATACGAAAGTAGTACGCCGTTCAAGAGTCCAAAGGGGGATCGGTTCTCATAGTCACTGGACCAAGGCGGTGGATGGACCCAGAGCTCGTGTAGTATAATTGTTTGCTCGGCCGGTTCTGGCTGTACATTGTATCATTGAGGACGACACGAAGAAACGATGACCGATTTTCTGCGCCCTGTTTCTTGCGTTTGTCGGGCTTCGCGTTGGTGACTTGAAAAGCAGTATATGATTTGGGAGCTTGTCAATGATTCATTACACCTGGAGCATGCTTCGTCTCCGTTGGTGAACCCACGCAATGCACCACTCTCGACATCAGTGCCTCCATCAATCAATGAGTCTCTATCATTAGCCTACGGCTGGTCGTTCTGTATCGGCAAAGCATGTCAATTGCCTCAAGGCCAATACCTCAATCTTTGTCGACTTCAAGCACGAGGGCCGATCGGCGCAAACCGCTAAGACACAGGCCGCTGTTCGCACTGGGCAGATGGGTCCTTCCGGAAGATGCCGCAGAAACCCCCAATTCCGACCTCCAGCCTCAATCCGAGCTAAGCCACTTTGGCCCTAAGTACCCAGCTGTCGCGGCCGTCGCAGCTTGTGGCGGCACGTCCTTTTGCTCCAGCTCTAGCTCGACCTCGACATCCCACTTAAACCTCACCTCTTTGCCCAACGCCTACTCTCCCAGATCTAATCCACCCAGCAGGCATGCGACCGGGTCACAATGGCGAACCCTGAGCTAGCGATAGCCAAGGCCTCCTTCAGCGCCATCCTCTTCCGCAAAGAACCCGTCTCGCTCACCAGGCCCGAGATCGAGAGCTTTCACACCCTCCTCCACGACGCGATACACCAGTGCTCGCCGGCCAACGTTCAGGTTTGACGCCCTCCAGCGGCCTCTACTATTGCCGCTGTTCTCTCTCTATCTCTACACATCTCTGTGTGCGCTCCTCTGTGGTTGCAAGGTCGACTAAACTCCCGCCGCCTCTAGAAATGCAAGCGCTGGATCCTCAAGAACCTGGTCCCCTCGCCGGCGCGCGTCAGCGCCGTCGGCAAATACCTGGCCGCCCTCTCCAATTCGTTTCCCGATGATGGCAAGACGAAGCCCTCGACGCGAAGGAAGCGTCTGCACATTCTCTACCTCATCAACGACGTTCTCTACCACGTCGCCGTGCGCGATCGGGATGCGCGCTTCGCGACCGCCCTAGAGGCCAGCCTGACGCCCCTACTCCACGGCGCTGCCAAGTTTCCAAACTGCCCCAAACAGGCAAAGAAGCTCGAGGATCTGCTGGCCCTGTGGGAAAAGCAAAAGTACTTTTCGGCGACCGTCATCGACGACCTCCGCGAGACCATCAAAGAAGCTCCCCACGGCGGCAAGGTAGCAAAGGGAGAACAGGGCCAGACGGGGTCGAATCTCGGCTCGAAGCCCGCCAAAGACGCGCCCTACATGATTCCCTCGATCCATGGCGACCCCAACACGCCCTGGTTCGACCTCCCAGCCGCGAATTGGCTGCCGCATCTCACGCCCAACTCGACAAAGGCCATGAACCCAGACATGATCAAGCCGCTGCAGCTCGCCCCAGGACCCGCGGACAAGGCCCTCGCCAAGGCGGTAAAGGACTTGCTCGCGGACGTCGAAAGGCTCTACAACCCAGGCGTGGCCCCGCGAGATGATCAGCAGCAGCAGCACACAGGCCTCAGCGAGATGGGTGAGCGGATCGTTCTCGACGAGATCACGGGCGAGGTCGTCGACGGGGAGACGTACTACGGGTGGTCCCGCAGGTTCTGCGAGAAGATGAAGCAGCGGAGGAAGAAGACGAAAGGGGGGCCGACCGATCGCGGCCGTGGGCGGTCCGACTCCAGGAGCCGTTCTCGAAGCTCCTCCCGTAGCAGATCCAGCAGGAGCGACTCTCCGCCGGCCTTTAAACGACGCAGAGTATCGCCGGACTCGCGGACGCCTAGCCGTAGTCGCAGTCGGAGCCGGGATCGTCGGCGCAGCCCTGCGCGTGGCAACCGCTACGATTCGAGAGATTACAGCAGGTCGAGGTCAAGATCTAGGTCGAGGTCGCGTGCTCGGTACAGATCAAGATCAACGTCGCGCGATCGTGGCCCAGCAAGAGACCGAGATAGAGATAGGGGCCGTGGCAATGCCAGCAGGTCACCACTACCACCATCCGACCGCAATCGCCACCACAACCCCCCAGACTTTGGGACGGGAAGTCACACCGCCGGCTGGGGACAGCAACAGCAGCCGCCGCCGCCGCCCCCTCCCTCAAGCTACAACTCCTCACAAGTCCAAGCCTTCCCGCCGTACCCCCCGCCACTACCACAGGCGGCAGGCGGGTTCGGCCACTTCCCCCCGCCGCCACCGCCTCCGCAAGGCTATCAGGGCCAATGGCCGCCGCCGCCACCACCACCACCGCCTCACCTGGGCGGCCCCCCTCCTTCACACGGCTGGGCTCCTCCGCCGCCGGGCCCAGGGGTTCCGCCACCGCACATGGGCGGGTGGGCAGCTCCTCCTCCTCCTCCACAGCAGCAGCAGCAGTATAATAATTATCAGCAGTACGGACGAGGCAATGGCGGCGGGTACCGTGGACGCGGGAGACGAGGCGGAGGCTCTGATCGCGGCAGAGGCGGGTGGTGAGGTCGTCTTGAGATCAAAGAGGAGATCGGAGAGAAAGAGAATCTGTAGATTAGCAACCAAAACAAATACACGCCATCAAACATGAACACGGTGCCACCGCGAGCAAACTCTCAAAATAGTTCTGCGTAAGCCGTTTTTTGTTACCCAAGTCTAGAATTGTGGCGGAATCACACGCCAGTACTCATTCATCGTCCAAGACAGAAACCAAGGAGGTAAAAGAACCATCGCGATTCCCTCGATTCCTCGCGGAGCAATAAAGCTCGCGCAGAAGAAGAGGAAAATCATCGTCTTCCCTCCCTGAATTGCGTCCTTTGTACGCCAATCCCATCTTTCTCGTCCATCCACGCCTTCTTGTGCTTTCCGTCCCCTTTCTCCCAACGCTCCTAACACAACGTTTTTCTTTTCGCAACCCCCTCACACCAAATCTCTGTCACCCCAAAAACGGCGGGCGGGGGCAACTCGATCTCGAGTCGAGTCTGTATTCCACGCGAAAAAAAAAAAAGAGAAAACAAAAGAAGTGACATCATGAAAATTAAGTTATGTTTCCGGGGGCTGCGAGGCCCCATCCCTAGCGCACGGAAACCTTTCTTTCCTCTCCGCACCAAAGTCGTTTCCTGGGTGATCCTCTGAATCATTCCCTCCAGCATACAACTCATGCATGAGTTTCCCCTTTTAAAAAGTCTCCCCTCAACCGGTTGAAGGCATGTCATTCAGTGATGTCGGTCCCCCGTCATGACTCCTCGTCCGCCTCGGCCTTGACTTCGCCGTTCTCTTCCGCGTCCTAGAATCCGACATGTTAACCATCGTCCAGTGGGGCGTGGGGCACGCAATAAGTCGAACAGAAGGCAGCGCAAAGGCACGCCAAACATGAGCAAGGGACAAGCGTAAATCATGGTGTGGGCTGATCATACCGAGTCTTGTTGCTCTTGCCGACGATCCCTGCGATCTCCATCCTGCAGATTAAGAGAATCTAGACGCTTCTGGTTGTCTTCGGTGCCGTCAACCTCGTCGACGCGGGAAAGGGATCCAGCGTGGGCTCTACCCGCGGTCGGTGCGCCGTTTGCTGATCGTCTTTGCTCGGCCTGGTCTGTGATGGAAGCCCATTTCCTCTCGCGCAAGGCTTCTCTGGCCGCGGCGCTGTTCTGTTGCTCGGTGTAGTCGTGAGAGCAGTCATCAAATAGTTGGGGGTTAATCTCCATGAACAGCTTCATGGCGTTGTACACCATGCCGTGGATGGTGCTGTCAGAGGTTAGCGGGTCTCGAGTTTAGGGAGCGTCCGTACTCACCGGTTCCAGTGGCCCTTTGAATTCTCATAGAGCGGCGCAAACATGATGGGCAGGATAATCTCGACGTTGTCGCTGACCAGGTTGCAAAAGTACTCGTTGTTCCAAAAGTAGAGCGCTCGCTCTGCGACCTGGAAGTGAGGGCTGGCTACAGACTTGGCGAGCTGGTGG